ACGGTCTCGGCCTCCACAGGTCCTCGTGACTGCCACCCTGACGTCAGTACGGTCTCGGCCTCCACAGGTCCTCGTGACTGCCACCCTGACGTCAGTACGGTCTCGGCCTCCACGGGTGCTCGTGACTGCCACCCTGACGTCAGTACGGTCTCGGCCTCCGCGGGTCCTCGTGACTGCCACCCTGACGTCAGTACGGTCTCGGCCTCGCGGGTCTTCGTGACTGCCACCCTGACGTCAGTACGGTCTCGGCCCCCACGGGTCCTCGTGACTGCCACCCTGACGTCAGTACGGTCTCGGCCTCCGCGGGTCCCCGTGACTGCCACCCTGACGTCAGTACGGTCTCGGCCTCCGCGGGTCGTCGTGACTGCCACCCTGACGTCAGTACGGTCTCGGCCCCTGCGGGTCTTCGTGACTGCCACCCTGACGTCAGTACGGTCTCGGCCTCCGCGGGTCCTCGTGACTGCCACCCTGACGTCAGTACGGTCTCGGCCCCACAGGTCCTCGTGACTGCCACCCTGACGTCAGTACGGTCTCGGCCCCCACGGGTCCTCGTGACTGCCACCCTGACGTCAGTACGGTCTCGGCCCCACAGGTCCTCGTGACTGCCACCCTGACGTCAGTACGGTCTCGGCCCCCACAGGTCCTCGTGACTGCCACCCTGACGTCAGTACGGTCTCGGCCTCCACGGGTGCTCGTGACTGCCACCCTGACGTCAGTACGGTCTCGGCCTCCACGGGTCCCCGTGACTGCCACCCTGACGTCAGTACGGTCTCGGCCCCTGCGGGTCTCGTGACTGCCACCCTGACGTCAGTACGGTCTCGGCCTCCACAGGTCCCCGTGACTGCCACCCTGACGTCAGTACGGTCTCGGCCCCTGCGGGTCTTCGTGACTGCCACCCTGACGTCAGTACGGTCTCGGCCCCTGCGGGTCTTCGTGACTGCCACCCTGACGTCAGTACGGTCTCGGCCCCTGCGGGTCTTCGTGACTGCCACCCTGACGTCAGTACGGTCTCGGCCCCTGCGGGTCTTCGTGACTGCCACCGGAGCTCAGCACCGTCCTCGGCCTCCACAGGTCCTCGTGACTGCCCCCTGACGTCAGTACGTCTCGGCCTCCACAGGTCCTCGTGACTGCCACCCTGACGTCAGTACGGTCTCGGCCTCCACAGGTCCTCGTGACTGCCACCCTACGTCAGTACGGTCTCGGCCCCCACAGGTCCTCGTGACTGCCACCCTAAGTCAGTACGGTCTCGGCCTCCACAGGTCCTCGTGACTGCCACCCTGACGTCAGTACGGTTCTCGGCCTCCGCGTCCCCGTGCTGCCACCCCTGACGTCAGTACGGTCTCGGCCTCCACAGGTCTTCGTGACTGCCACCCTGACGTCAGTACGGTCTCGGCCTCCGCGGGTCCCCGTGACTGCCACCCTGACGTCAGTACGGTCTCGGCCCTCCACAGGTCCCCGTGACTGCCACCCTGACGTCAGTACGGTCTCGGCCCCCACGGGTGCTCGTGACTGCCACGCTGACGTCACATCCTGTCCCCGAGCTTTCCCACAAGTCCGGTGCTGTTTTCCTACTGCGCGGGAAACTCAGTCCTCGATACGATGCCGCGCGGGCAGAAAATTGCCGCCGGCGGCGTCACTCGCAGGACTGCAGTGGGTCTAACTCGCGGCGTCACTCACAGGACAGCAGTGGGTCTAACTCGCGGCGTCACTCACAGGACAGCAGTGGGTCTAACTCGCGGCGTCACTCGCAGGACAGAAGTGGGTCTAACTCGCGGCGTCACTCGCAGGACAGCAATGGGTCTAACTCGCGGCGTCACTCGCAGGACACCAGTGGGTCTAACTCGCGGCGTCACTCGCAGGACAGCAGTGGGTCTAACTCGGACGACACCACTGGCCGCGCCGGGCAGGACCGCCGCTGCCCGGCGCGTCCCGGCCAGTCTTCCATACCGTGAAGGCACCGCGTCGCGCGTGGTCAGAGTCCTGACGACTCTGCGCCCCGAGTACCGACGACCCGACGTTTTGATTCGGATTCCCGACGGTTCGCTGCCCCTATCGGAGTCCCGACGACTCCGTGGTTCGACTCGGAGTTCCGAAGACTCCGCGGTTCGAGTCCTGGCCAGCGCCGGGGTGCGGTGGCCACTGCGAAAGCCGGAACGTCTCACCGCGCAGCGACAGCTCTGGCGACCCTGGCAGCTGTCCAAGTGGATGGTGGCGGGATATTTGTCGTAATGGTGATTTCATCTGGTTGTGCGCTGTTGATGGCTGGGGAAAAACCGGTTTAGCTGAGCCGAGCTTTCGGATAACACGCGTGGAAGGACTCAGATGTTTTCCGTTCATGTGCATTCTATACAACCGTTTATACATGGTGAAAACAATAGCAATCAAGCAACATTATGTCCATGTCCACTGGCATGACGTGGCGCCAGGCCACAACACGGGGGCATGGAAACGACTCAAAAAGCGCATGGCCAAATCTGCGTTATGGTTTTGATGCATCCCATAAATCTCGTTCTTTGCGTGCATAATGTACGTAATATTAAACTCCAATGAAAATTGCAGGACAGGCATGGCCAGAACTATGTCGGTTCTCTAGCTTGTCAAGACAGCAATGAAGTGATGAAGGTTGTGTGGTGAGGGTTTCCCGCCGTTTTCTGCGACAAAGAATCGCAAGTATATTACGAAACAAAATAGAAGATTATCACAAAGATTGGTCAAGCTGACAAGATATCAAAGCGACTGCCCACAGCTGTCACGCGCGCCAGGGCATCGTCGGCTTAACGTGGTCACTGCACTAAAATAATCGAGGAGTCATATCTTCCCGCCGTCTGTTCAATGCACCCAAGTCCACATACATGGTTAGCTAATCTCCTGCCCGCTCGGCGGTGCAGCGGCCGCTCGCCGGCTCGGCTTGTGCCCCCTCCCTGCCCGCCGGGGCCGGGCGGTGCGGGCCGCCGCCGCCGCCGCCGCCGCCGCCGCCGCCGGTGCAGCCTGCTCTCAGTCTCAAGGATGGCGGCCGAGTGCCACGCCCGACGGCCGCGCGGCGGCGGGCCTTCGCTGAGGTTCCGGGCCCGGCTGCGCGGAGGTCGGACCGCGGCGGCGGCCGGACCCTCCCCGGGCTCAAGCTAGGCGGAGCCAGACCCTCCCCGGTCTCAGGCCAGACGGGGTCAGACCCTCCTCGGTCTCAAGCCAGGCGGGGTCAGACCCTCCCCAGGCTCAGGCCGGACGGGGTCAGACCTTCCCCAGGCTCAGGCCGGACGGGGTCAGACCCTTCCCGGGCTCAAGGTTGGTGGGACCGGACCCTCCCGGGCTCAGGGTGGGCGGGGTCAGACCCTCCCCTGGTTCAGGGCGGGTGGCGTCGGACCCTCCTCGGGCATAGCACAGATGGATTTTAACTCTGCCCAGCTAAGGGCTGGCAGGGAAAACATGCAATCTTATGGGTTTTTTGGGTCTTGGTCGGAACAAATGTCTACGGCCCCTTATCATCCATGATCTTCCGAAGATAAAACTGCCATGACCAGCGTGCACTGCAAACTGCACGCCGTCTTCTGAACCCCGCAATGAGGCTGTATTCTATCTTAGCCTGTTCTCGACACAGTCTCGCTGCAGACATTCCGTCTCGGGGCTAGGGCCTTTGCCTGTTAAAAACCTCGGTCCTACAAATATTTCTTTTTCCGGTCCCGAGCGACGTTTATCACGACTATACATCTGCTGTTCCATCCCCTTCCACTCGGGACCACGTAAGTAGTCCTGATTTTGATGAGCCTGCGTGGCACGGCTGGCTGCCGCCGCCCATTGGGCTGCGGTCGCCGACTGCCCATCCCCCAGTCAAATGCGTTGTTACGTCATTGCTCGGAGCAACGCCATTCCAAAATGACACACCGAATACCCGGCCTGTTATTAGAGGCTCCACAGCCGACTAGCACGCAAGCTTTTATTGCTTTCCAGTCACACGCTATCGAGCCCATATCCCAACCCATGATTACCTAACTGCCCGGTGAATTAATTGTGGTTGGATGCTGACATAAGCTAACGAGCTAACGGGCTGCGCCGAGCCTCGCGCCGGCATCTGACGGGCTGCGCCGAGCTTCGCGCCGGCATCTGACGGGCTGCGCCGAGCTCCGCGCCGGCATCTGACGAGCTGCGCCGAGCTTCGCGCCGGCATCTGACGAGCTGCGTCGAACTTCGCGCCGGCATCTGACGAGCTGCGTCGAGCTTCGCGCCGGCATCTGATGTGCTGCGCCGAGCTTCGCGCCGGCATCTGACGTGCTGTGCCGAGCTTGGCGCCGGCATCTGACTGGCTGCGTCGAGCTTCGCGACGGCATCTGACGAGCTGCGTCGAGCTTCGCGACGGCATCTGACGTGCGCGCGAGCTCGGAGCTCCGTTGTGGAGCTCCCATATTAAGCAAGCCAATGCTTCCAAGCGTATGCCCCCCCCCCCCCCCCCGCTCCACACATCTCATTTTCGGCGGCCGCTGACCGTTTGCCACCGTGCCGCCAGGTCTGATGGAACTAGACGCGCTTGCCGACGGCCGCCCGCCGCTCCCGACGCAGGAGATCGGCACCCTCCGTCATCTACCCGGAGGTTCTGATCATCATCGACTACGACGGCTTCTTGTGAGCGCCAGCGTACCCCATACTCCTCGTCCGTGATGGTTATACGTCTTTCTGCTGCCGCTGCCTCGCTTTTGGTTGTTTGTCAGGTCCTCGAGCAATATTCGCGTGAGCGTTTATTATCAGCACACGCAAAGGCGGTCTCTTAAGGTACCTTGCCAATTATTTTCTTGTTGGCACTTTGATCGTTCGCTGCACTCACTAGCTCACGCTTGAAAGGCTGATCAGCTGTTTAACTGGCTGCGGTTTTAAGCATCACGGATCATACCAGGTGCACTGGCTGCTTCCAGGCTATCCTCGACAATGTTTTTGGTCTGACACTCTGTCTCCAGGCAACCCATCTGCAAAAATATCCGCCAGGCATAGAACTTCAGCAAAGTAAATGCTTTCCCTAAGCGGAAACTGTCACCGGCATGCGTGACGGCATGGACGCGCAGCGTCACGCACGGACAGGCTGCGGTGCCGGCGCTAGTTCGGTGTCTGTGCTGCCGGCTGTCAGATGTCCTGACGTCCTGCGCTTGCGCGGTCCGCTGATCCGTCACACAGTGCCTGCGCAGTTGTGTATCAGTACCTGTCACCTGCACGGGACGTGTCACGTTGGCGAAAACTTTCAGCACTTTTCGCTCGCATTTCAGGCTCCATGATCAGGACAACAACAAGATCAAGAAGTATTTCACCAGCTTTATGAACGGCGTCGATCTGCGGTACAAACAGCTGCGCAATCCCGAGATCAAGGTCAACATAGCCGGCATGATTATCTCTCGGGTAAGTGGCACGCTCCCAACGTCTGAGCGACGGGCGTGTCTCTGGTGGTATGTAAATGGTGCTCGCACTCATCAGCTTTGGAGCTCACATTGTCAGCTAATGAGCGCCTTAAGTAACGGCGGAGGAAATCTTATCTTAGCATTCCGCAGCTTGGTGTCAGTATCAGAGCGGCAAAGCTGTCCAGAAGGAATGCCAAGAGTGCGCGGAGTTGCCTGTCGCAGCTGTCCAGAAGGAATGCCAAGAGTGCGCGGAGTTGTCTGTCGCAGACGAGTCTTTTCTTGAGAACAATGCGTGCAGATACATCCGGAATCGCTTTGTTTCCATATTAGGGCAATGTTGTGGAAGAACGTATGCACGGTAATCCATTTCATCCAGCATTTGTTCGTTCGCAACTGCATCAACAACGTCGACCCGGTTGATTGACTAAAAGAGGATGTGACCGCGCTGCTAGCATATCGGGTGCTTATCACACGTTTGCAACAGTAAAATCACCCGTACCGTAGCCGTCTAAGCTTGTCCAATAAATAGACATCACGTAGGATCGTGAAGCTCTTCTTAAAGCACAAAGCCAGATGCCTCAAACACGCGGTGGCACTAGAAATCGTTCCGTGCTTGGAGGATCAACGTGTTCCCAGAGCCATCGATAACCAACGAACTATCCTTCACCTGGAAATCCGCGCATTACCTGTCAGGCTTTACCCCGTCCCACGGCCCCGCCGGGCATCCCTTCCCGGCTCGGCCCCCCCCCCCCCCCCTCTCCGACGAGCTTGGCACGGAAGTCCGGGGTGCAGCCGCGCAGCGCCGTTAGTGGCGCGGCGACGTTCGCGGCGTGGCTCTAACCGGGCGCGCAGCGCTGACGTGGGCGGCGTGTCAGCGGCGGCGGCGGTGGCACTAATCCGGCGGCACACCCCGGCCGCGTAATCGGACACCAAGGTCGCAGGGTCAGCAGGCGGCCGGCACCGGCGTCCGGGACAGGGTGGTGAGGTCTCAGGCCTGGGGACTCGTGTCCAGGATCGGCGGCAAGGCCTCAGATCTGGTGATCGGTGTACGGGACTGGACGGTGGGGTACTAGATCTGAGAACCGATGCCAGGTATTCAGGCCCGGCGGTAAGGTCTCAGGTCTGGGGACCAGTAACTGGGGCCGGGGGTGGAGACCCAGCCTGGACGTCGGGACCGGCCTGCGATGCCAATGTCAGAGACCGCTGCAGTACCCTGTCGGGAAGCGATTTGAAGGTACTCGTACCACGGATGGGCAGCGCACCTGGGGGAACGATCCAGGCACTGGACATGCCGGTCTAGTGATACCTGCAGCCAAAATTGCGACATCGATATCTCGTCATGGACGGATGAGATAACCCTGGAGAGCAGCTGGGCTATGGAACTTGGACTGTCACAGTGACTGATACCTTCTCTGGCTGTTTAAATCCGTTCTTGTTTTACGGAGACGCGGCGTGCGTCGTCCCAAACGGGTTCATGAAACGCCAGCAGCTACGGTGACCACAAAAACGCCCAAGGAGTGTGGTGCGAGTGGGATCGGAACTGGACCTAACGCGTGGGAGCTTAAGACACCCATTCATTAATCCATCATACCTCTGATTCGTCTTGAGCCTTGAAACCCAATTTTAACAAGAGCTTAACGTACCTTTAACGTGCCATAATGCCCAGACGCTAAACATCTGGACGCCTCTAACACACATCGGATCTGTGCAGTCACGCCGAGTGTAACAGGACATAACTGGTGCGGCTGACTGCACCTGGCTGCACTGGCAGCCCTTCCTGCGGCCTGGGATCTGGATCGGGCCGGCCTTGAGACTTGTTGCCGCTGCTCGACAGGGCGCCGACGCCACACCGTACCTGGAGGAGAACAAGGTGACGAGGGACTCGATCGACTCGGCCGCCGCTCTCACCGCCATGGGCAAATACCTGTTCGAGGAGCGACGCCTGCCGACATACGACATTGCTATGGCGATCACCTAAGTGAGTATGCATCCTAGCCGCCCAACGGCGTTCGTTAGCCGTCCAGCGTCACTGGGATGGGGGTGTCTTGTTTCGGCTGGCATACCGTGTACTCTGTCATTATTGTGGTGTCTTTGCTTCCCAATGGTAGAAATATTGTGTGGCATGATGACGCTTGATAAGCTGTCTTCATATTGTCATATTTGGTCGTGGTTCCATCGGTTACTGGGATAAATTCGTCGTTCCACGAAGACTGTCACTTTGACGCATACAGCTTCGGAAGAACACAGCTTCTGGATTCCGCTTCGACAGCTGTTGGCTAGGTCTGAGGCCCAGTTCGGACTGCCTGTACTTCTCCAAAAGTGACGAGATCCTACGATGACTCGGCCGCTGGCTGAGTCCGAGTCTCAACCGTTGGCCAGATCTGAGTCTCAGCCGTTGGCGGGATCTGAGTCTCAGCTCTGGCTGGATCTGAGTCTCAGCCGTTGGCTCGATCTGAGTCCCAGCTCTGGTTGCGATCTCGCCCCAGTCCGGACTCCGATAATTACTGAGGCTGAGTCGCTACTTCATGATCTCTTAATCTGCGCTTCGAATTTTGACGCACTCAGCGGCAGTCCCATATCTTAGCATTCTGCTCTGACTACGGCCCAGACTTGGTCAAGTCCTCCCCTGCATCGACCGTCCCGTGGCTGCACAGGATCCACAGACCGGCTGAAGCAGCTGATCCCATTATTCCCTTCTAGTGGCCTACCACCTAACATGCTTTCGTAGAAAGCGCCGCCATACGGACCCGTAGTGAGCAACGGGTTTTCAATGTCCCTGCCCACCTAGCTAAGTCCTTCCTGCTTGTCAACGAGGCTCACGACATTCAAGCCTGTCCCGTACCCATCCGAGTCCGAACAGTCTCGAGCTGGTCCAACAACCCGCCGCACCACCCGCCCAAAGACAGCCAACTGACGCAAGAGGCTCCGGCTGCACACCTGGGCCCTGCCCCAGCCGGGCATCTAGACACTACCCGGCCAGGCACTGCCCCGGCCGGGCATCTGGGTACTGCCCCAAACAGGCGTCTGGGCACTGCCCCGGCCGGGCGTCTGGAAGTACCGCCCCGGCCGCGCATCTGGGCATCATCTGGGCTGGGCTACGGCCGCTGTTGCTTACATGTTCGAGATTACGATACTGCCGGTAGATGATGCTGATGTTGGCTAGTGTTGAATGTGATCGGGTCTGTCCCGTCCACCTTCTGCCCCTGGAGAAATGGGACAGAACTGTCAATTTGGTTGGCATAGTCGTATCTCCGGCAGACAAGCGGAAAAAACCGACATTCTTAAAGACGTTGGTCCAATTTCAGTTTGTTTCCGGGCTGTCAATGAACTAACGCTATATTCACACCACATTACGCCACATTCACGCCACGCCACATTCAGGGCATATCACGCCATGATGTCTGGTGCGCTACGTGGTCTTGGCTCTTCCCCGTCGTATGGCATTTGCCTTGAGCGTCCTTTAACTATCAGGACATACATCTGGAGAAACCCGGCGCTAAGTGCACGGGATGAACATTCAAGCCGGCTGGCTAAGACCAGGATGGAGAGTAGCTCCCGTGCAAGTCTGATTAATCTCAAGCTGCAGGTGATGATAAACGCACTGTGATTGCTCACTTGCCTGTGCATGGCTTTCGGCCCAGCTGACGTGTGCTGGTACCACAGCGAGGAGAGCATGCCACCTCCCTAGCTCTGTAGCCACACCTCCCTAGCCACACTTTTCAATGCGCCGGAGCACCCAGCGCGGCATTATGTCAGATCTGCTGGCGATGCGTGATTCCCCCGACCGACCCGTGGATGACGTCGACGAGAACTTGCCCGTCGGCAGGGTGCGGCGCTGACGTCAGCTGGCGTCCTGTGACGTCACGATCCCCGCGCAGCCGCCGGCCCTCCCCGCCTCCTGTCTCATCCAAACCGGCCCAGTGCTCCCCGAAACCACAGATCTTCTCCGGTTTGGCAGCCCAGTTCCAGCTGGAGGCCAGCGTTTCTCGCCGGCGCTGGACGCAGAAAACAAAAACGGAAATCCCTTCCCGGAGCTCGAATCCAGCAATGGGACCGGGTGATCCTGGCTCAGTCATTATCCGGTTGCCCGGGGGTGTCCGGCTCGGTACCAGATGACATCAACGCGCGCCTGCCCACATCCGGGCCAAGCGCGACGTCGTCTGAGCGTCGCCCTGACCGGCGCCTCGCGTGGGTGTCGAGACGTCACGGCAGCTCCTCCGGAGCGATCAGGGCAGCAGCCGACCAGATCGGCTGGGCCGTTGCTGTGTGGAATCGGTGGTGACGGTTGTCGATGGTTCGCCAATTTGAGGCGATCGGAATGCACTGGGTGCCCCAGGGGCGCATTCCGCCATCTTTGGGGGGGGGGGGGGCACGGCTATATCATACATGTGTTTCACTAAAAAACATCCCACAAACACCTTTTAGCCAGCTAAATTATGCGAGCGTCTGCTTAGATCTCAGTGTGAGGCAAAGGGTTTACGGACTTGTACCTAACTTTGTGTCCATTCATTTGGAGACGCATGTCTTATGGTCTTTCGATCATGCATGGTCCTAAGAGGCCTCCTAATTTGCAAAGTCGTTGGTCGCTATCCCCCCCCCCCGCCCTTCGCTCACCCCACTCCCGTGCACGCGCACCACGTCGGTCGGTCGCCCGCAGCTGACAGCCGTCTTCCACAGACACGACCTGTGCCGACGGCGAAACAGCGGCAAGTGCACCAAGGGAACCGCCGGTACGTGTGCCCTGACCAGCCGCGCCTTGCAGGACCGACCTGACCCACCCGAGACCGAGAAACGCCTCGGGCGCCGCCCGCCCGCTGACCGACAGCCCACACACCTGGACTAACCGGCCCCGACGGGGCCCAGACAGGTGGCCGAACGAAGCCGACCACGACCGAGCTGACGCATGTCTCTTCTCTGTCCAGCTGGCTGGGGAGAATGTGCTTACGAGCGCCTGCTGCCTGTCTATACTCGCTTTGACTGTGGAGGGACATGCGGACGCGCTCGCCGAAGACGTGTCCCTATGGATCGTGCTCCGTAGCGTGAGCACTCCGGGGTCAACCGCTCCCGGCCGAGCCGAGATCCTCACTCAGCGTGTGCGCGTTGTTTTCAGGCTTGACATGTGCAGAAAAGACTATGACTATGGACCATGTAACACGGGAACGGCTGGTAAGACCGCGTGCCGGCGACGTCTGACGTGGCACGCCTAGACGCCGGCACAGATAGACTCCGCGCACTGGAATGCCTTTATGTTGGGATCTGAGATACTCATTGTGACGTCACCGTGACATTGCCTATTCGCTTCTCGGTAGCAGCTTAGCCAAGTCCGTCCGCAGGAGGTGCATGAAGGTAGTGACCTTGATCTAAGGATGTGGCCTAACACTGGTGTGCCAGAGTGCAGCGCGCGTCTCTGAAGATGCTAAGACTGCGGGTCGCCATCCTTAACTGATCGCCATAGCTCCTGCGCTGGCCTAAGAGCTGCGGCAATCATGACGCATGACCAGCCTATCGAAACGCTTCTTGGAACGCATGCCCGCGGTGTTTCACGATTGCTTTTTCCATTCTCTTTGACACGCATCTTCAGTTAGGACTGCTGCCACTGTCAGGCCACTCACCCGCGTTCATCCCCAACCATTAACTCACCAGCGCGCATGTACGATTCAGTATGCTCACCCCACGCCTTCTGTTTCTCTGCCTCGCTTCGCTGGACTGTGGACCTGTGAGCGTGACCGTGACTGAGGCCGAGCGGCTGAACTAAAGCGGACGACTGTGAAACGCCCCCCTGGTTTGCGCCGCTAACCTGCTCGTGATGGAGGCATGCCGCTAGGAAAAAGATCACTTCGTCGAACCATTCACGTACTTTGCTGCTGGAGTTGTTCGCATGAAAAAAACACTGTTAAATCGTGCTGCCAATCTCTTTTTTGTGTATGCAAGGTTAGTCACTAAACCGTACCATTTTGTCTGAAATAGATGTCACAATGGTAAAACATCATTATTTGACGAAAAGTATAAGCATCTAAGTGAAAGCATGGCCCAGCCATATAATAGAGCTACATTATCGTTGTTCTGCATCAGCGCACCCACCTTCTTTGCTAAAGCAAGACTTGGCTTACGTGCCGGCGTTTTGCCCAAGTTGTCGTCCTCACTTCTGGAGTCCACTTGTGCTATCGTCGTAAACCCACATAAGCCCTGCCTGAACAGCCTCACTGAATCCGTCGCTGATAAGACGCTGCCGCCTCCCCACGCCGCGCCACTGCCATCTGTAAGCTGACCGCCGCCGCCGCCGCCGTCGCCGCAGGCTTCGCGTACGTCGGTGGCGCGTGCGTCGTCAACAAGCGGCTGACCAAGGTGAACTCGGTGGCGATCGTGGAGGACACGGGCGGCTTCTCGGGCATCATCGTGGCTGCCCACGAGCTGGGCCACCTGCTGGGCAATGTACACGACGGCTCACCGCCGCCATCCTACCTGGGCGGGCCGGGCGCCAAGCGCTGCCGCTGGGAGGAGGGCTTCATCATGTCCGACCTGCGGCACACCGAGAAGGGCTTCAAGTGGTCGCCCTGCAGCCTGGAGGAATTCGACCACTTTCTCAAGTGAGTAGTGGGGAACTGGCCCGGCCTAGGAGGAGGACTGGCTACGAGAAAGACGCATAGTCATGCCACTAACGCGTCTTGGAAGAAACATCTGAGGATGCGAACGTGGGATGTGGACGGTCACCTGAGTACACCATTTGTGGTGCATTCAGTCTTCTTAAAGCAAGCCTTATGGCCAAGCAGCCGGTGCACCTTTTTCTATTGAAAGAAATAGCACTTGCACCAACATACCCGGAATCAAATTTATATTGCTCTAACCTCGCCCATTTACAGCTCAGTTGTAGCTCTGCCCCTGTTTCACCACCGAGTCCTCAGTCCCCACCGAAGGCTCACCCCTGCTCTATTTGCCAGCGGCGAGACGGCCACGTGCCTGTACAACGCACCGCACGAGCGCAACAACCTGGACCGCCACCTCCCCGGCAAGCTGCTCTCGTTGGACGCGCAGTGTAAGCGGGACCGCGGCACGAGCGCCTGCTTCAAGGACGACCGGGTCTGCGCGCAGCTCTTCTGCTTTGACCAGGCGACGGGCTACTGCGTGTCCTATCGCCCAGCGGCTGAGGGCTCGCCCTGTGGTGTCGGCAAGGTGGGTCCAGGTCGCTAAATTATCTGGAGCATCGGGCGAGGCAGCCTGGCTGGATAGCGTGTTCCGCAGCCGGGGTGAGAACAGTGCTATTGCATTTGTGTTGCTGACGACACTTTTAACGAATGCGTGCCGCAAGTAATAATTTTGCTCCACAAGATTTTGCAAGCGGATGCAAGGGCATTACTTGTGGCTCTGTAACTTCAGCTCAGGACATTTTAACTTTTGATTTTAACAGCGGTTGCTGCAAAAAACCTGGTGGAAGCATCTTCCCTCCTGAGAATCAACTATCGGCCCTTATGACTGACGGAAAGAAGAGACGACATTTGGGTTCACTGAATTTGCCGTGTAGCCGTACCCGTAGTGCAAATCGGCCATAACTACGGGCAACCAGGACAAATGACAGTGCAAACAGGCGTTGATGGTCATACAATGGAAGTTTTACAGTAAATGTTGAGGAAGTATTGAAAGTGCGCCGGCTAGAAATATGAGACAGTTTAGGTTTTACCTTATCCCGCAAAAACTGCTCGTTTGCCCAGTTCGAGTACAGCGTATGCATGCGGATGAACGACACAGCGTACCAAGCACGAACCTGTCAAAAAGGCAACGATATTTTGGTCACAAAAATAGAACTGACCCATAATTTTGGTTAAAGGCGCTTCCTAAAACCATCGGCGTAACCACGCCTTAAATGTTACTGGAGTTCATTTCTGTATTGGTGACGTTTTGTATGATCAAAGCACAAACAAATCCACGTGCCATATGGTTAATGGGGTCCGGACCCATCGACCCCGGTGGTGATGACGCCCATAGCTAACACAAGAAGAAGGTCATGTATTTTTCACGTAGTCATCCGAAGGCACTGTCATACTGGTGACTTATATGGTTTTCTCGATTTGATGGCCTTGCAGTGGCCATTGTCTTAAAGATAATGACATCCTGCAGGTACCACACAGATTGCTCCGACTTCCTCAAATTGTTATGCTCTTAGTGACGCGAGGACTCTGCTGATGGCGTATCTCACACGGCGGCTCTGTTGCCTGGCAACAGCGAGGTTTGCGTCTTGTTAGCAGTGCGCTTTGTGACCTCACAATCATCTTCAGCTATTGCGCCGGCCGATGGTGGCCCGCCGGTACCCCCGGGACCACTTCCAGCGGAGCGGGACCGGACCGGACCGGTACAGGCCGGGCCGCTCCCTCCGCTGTGGTGTCAGCTGGACTGACCGCTGCCGCTGCCGTTGCAGTACTGTCGGGACGGCTACTGCGTGACGGACGACAGCTCCGGGAACGGCTTCGGTCCCATCTCCTACGGCTCCAGCGACTACTTCACCAGCGCCACCCAGACGAGGCCGGTGTGGACGGACCCTCCCATCCAGACCACCGAGAAGTCCACCACTAAAAAGTGAGCCGCCGGCCGCGGGGATGCCGTCTTTATCAGACATTTATGACGGGTTCATCCGATAAGACCTGTCAGTGGCGAAGATGCCACCTGCTGGACCAATGGCCTAGCGGCTGGCCGTCTGGGTCGGTCTTTAAGAGTCCCGCGCGGAGCGCCAGAATCAACGAGGCTTAACATTACGTTCCCCGTCACAACCAGCAATCTATCATCACTGATCTGTCACTGAAACCTTCACTTTGCCCCTTGTCGCCGTGTTGCAAAGCTTATGGACTGGCAGCAGCCCGCTTGTTGCCAGGCCGGCGAAGGAGCTGTCCACGACACGAGTCAGCGCATGACCTCCCAAACATTCTTTGCAATATTAGAACTGCAATGCGCTTGACGCACGAATCTGTTAACATGGTTATTAACAACACTCGACATTACAACGCGCTGCACAGCAGCCACACGAGGCGGATCTCGAAGCTGGCCGCCGTGTGTTCTGCGGCCGGCCGAGCACCACGTGGTGAGGCGGACCGGCCGGCACTTTGACAGCCGGCAATATATCGCCCGACCGAGCTGGCTGGCCACGGGTATGCAGCCACCGCTGGCGGTTATGTCCGGGTCGGCGCCTCAGTCACGGGAGGAGCCACACTGCAGCGGTTATGTCCGGGTCGGCACCTCAGTCACGGGAGGAGCCAGACTGCAGCGGTTATGTCCTAGTCGAGCCTCAGTCACGGGAGGAGCCAGACTGCAGCGGTTATGTCCTGGTCGGCGCCTCAGTCACGGGAGGAGCCAGACTGCAGCGGTTATGTCCGGGTCGGCGCCTCAGTCACGGGAGGAGCCAGACTGCAGCGGTTATGTCCGGGTCGGCGCCTCAGTCACGGGAGGACGTCGGCGTGAGCCAGACTGCAGCGGTTATGTCCTGGTCGGCGCCTCAGTCACGGGAGGAGCCAGACTGCAGCGGTTATGTCCGGGTCGACGCCTCAGTCGCGGGAGGACGTCGGCGTGAGCCAGACAGCAGCCACTCCCGGTATAGATCCGCCACAGGATTGATGGCAGGAACGGGCCGACCACCCGCCACTCCAGGGAATCATGACCGCACTGCAGGCTGGCCTGAGCGGCGTGCGAGCCAGACACACCAAACATGTGCCGATCAACGAGTCTGATCTCCAGTCAAGTCCCAGAAGCAAACGGTTCGCAGTAGTGGGCCCGATGAGCTGCGAGTGAGATCGGTGTCGGAAACAAAAACTTTTGGGGAAACTGAAAAATCCCTTCGCGCCATTAAAGGGCCCAAAAGGCCGCGCGCGAGAGCTCCCACGAAGATGAATCCGATTAGTGTTGTTTTTTGTCCGTCGCCGTCTGAGCGTTAGATAGGCATCGTCTTAGCGTGGAGTTCGGCGGAATGTGGCAAGGTTCAGAAGAGACTGCCATTTTTGGAATGTGCTGGGACAAATTTTACGCCAGCAGATCCGCGCGTCGAAGATATAAGAGGCATTACATCTGAGGGTGCATGCGTCCTTGGTGTGCCAGAAATGTGTATGGTACAATCTGTTGCAAAGATTGCGCAGTTGAGTAGTTAAACAAGGAATGAATGTTGCATGCAATTGTGACACTGCCATCTGCAGCCGAGGCTGACCTGTGTGGGGACGTCCAACCCAGTGGGAACGTCATTATGGCAACTTCCACGCTCAGTGCCGTGACAGTTTCCCAAGACTTTCGCCATAGTAAAGTCCAACTGATCTCTCGGTCATGGCAGAGCCACACATTCAGGAAGACATGCCCCTAAGGATTACCAATAGTCATGCCTGCGTGGACAGTGTGGACTTAGTGATGCCAGCTGGATGTGTTACAACAGGTCCAGTTGCAGGATGTCGAGTAGTCCACTACTTTTACAGCTCAAATTGCGTCGCGCCTGGATTTACCCCGTCGTATTTTACAATCACATGCAAGGGCGGATCCAGAACATCGCCTTGGGGCCCACACCAGCCTGGGGCCAAACTTCCAACAATGTCCCGATGTTTGGAGCCTCGCCGGATTTCGCTCTCTTACATCAATCTGTGTTTTGACACAGACTCGTCGCATTCAAAGTTGCTTTGCTTTTCTTCAAGCTGTCATTTTTGCCCGACTTTTGCCATCTTGGGAGGGTACATGGCCCGGTTGGGGCGCTGGATCCGCCCTTGACAGCATGCATCGCATTGAACAGTAGATTCTTTTATGCGGTGACAGGTACAGGTGTCAAAAGTGTCATCGCAGCATTGTGAATGTTTTAGTTACACAGAAAGCTGATTCCATTTTGGCTTCCCCAGGCAATGGAGTTCGAGCTGGGGATCCAATCGATCAACTCGCGAGATTCATGGCAGCACCCAGACTACTACCACTTCAAGAACAACGACCACCAGAACCACGCCCACCACCACCACTACAACCACCACGCCATCAACTACAACCAGGAGCTGGTTCACCAAGCGACCCAAAGCCAACAGTCGATGGACGGCCTGGAGAAAGTCAACACGTGCCTCCACCACTACAGCGGCAACCACCACCACCACCACCAGAAGAACAACAACCAGAACAACCAGGAGGACGACAACCAGAACCACAAGACAAACGACAGCGGCGAGCACTGCAGGGGTCAGCAAGACCGAGCGGAACAGCGCGGCTAACGCCATCAAGAGCTCTTCCAAAGGTCAGTAACACTTCCGGCTGTCAGGGCCGCCGCCGGCCGCCGGGGACTGCCGCCGACGCCCAGCCGGCAGTTACCGCCTCGCCAGTCCTCTCGCGGCGGCGGCACAGCCCGACCCTCCCGCGCATTTACATGTCGCAGCCGCTGCTCAGAGTCGGCGGCAGTAAATGCGGTGGTGTGGTTAATTTAATGAATGGTCGGAACCGGTATCCGAAGGCCAGCGGCCGGCGGCGGTTGGACGGTGCTGGCGAACGCTGCCGTGCCTCGCTGCCGGACGCGCAGAGCTGGCCGGCCACCCTTTACATGCGCGGCCGGGGACGCCGACTTTGGCCCGGCGTGGTGTTCCCTGTGACCTGCGGCGTCCCTGGCGCGGCTGCTCCCCTCCCCCTCCCCTCCACCTCCTCTGCCGTCCGGTGGCACGCGGCAGCCGCCTGTCCGACGGCTTATCCACCGGCCCACTGTGGCAGCCAAATAAGGCGACGGCCAATGCCGCACCCTGCACGACACCGCAAAGGGCGGTCACCGCGCGAGTACTACTGACCGCCAGCCTTGGCGCTGTCATCAGCTGGGCCTGGAACACGGCATCGCCGGTATGGTGCAGATAGGCTGTCGTGAGCAGTGAAACGCGCGTAACAAGGAAATTGTCACTGAGCGTCTGAGGCGTTGGCAAATTGTCAATGACTGGTATGGTTGGCAAATTTTGTCTGTGCAGATGATGTTCCACACAACATCCCGAACGTCATCAAAACAAGATAAACCTGACGTACCTTTAATACTTATTCCGTTACGATGCAAGCTATCACTTCACATCAAACATTATTCGCACGCATGTGGCCGGCCGTGCCATGCTCCGGTGGGAGGCCGCACATTCCGACACCAGCGTCGTCATCGGGAGCCGGCAATCCGGCGGGCCCAGGATAACGCTCGGAGCCAGGGACCGGCCGGTGCCGGCACCAGTCCGGATTAGCAGCTCCCGGCGGCTGGTGGTGACAGGCTGGGCCGGGAGGCCGGCGCAGCGCCGGTGGGCCCGCGCCACTGCGGCAGACCTGTGCCCATCGCCCCCCCCCCCCCCTTGCGAGAAAGCGAGCGGCGAAGAACACTTCATTACGGCGAGGACGGGGGAGGAGGGAGAGGGCTGCGCTGCGCCCTTTGAACCATTTCGTCCGATCCTGCCCAGCAGCTGGCGTTCCACGACGTTTCCAACACCGGAACAGCACCGGCCGCTTCCCACGCCACGTTGCTGAGTGACGAGCGTGATACGTCCTGAGCCTCCTCGCAAGCCTGGCGCGACCTGTGTAACCGCAGCATACCCGGGCACTGGCCGTCTGAGCCCCACCACAGACCGACAGGAGGCACCGCTCATGACCCTGACACTCGGAGAGGCTGCGGCGACGACACACATCCGGCTCCTGGGGTTGTGCGTGTCATGATGTCCGCCAAGCCGTGCGTGAGATGTGTTACGAAATCACTGACAACGTGTGAGGGAAGGGTCTGTATGTGGGATGGGGGAGGGGCGTGGATACTTAGAGGAGCAAAACCCGAGGTTGCTCAATGCACCCCGGTTGTCATTAGTATGCGGACTGGGCAGCGGTTGATTTCAAGACGCCGCCGGTAGAATGCTTTCAATGCCTTTTTATTGAGGAATTTAGTATCTTGAGCCGTTTTCGTCGGTGGAACTCGGGCTTGGCACGTGAGCTCTGGCCCTGATTTCTACGTGATTTCACTTTCGAGATGATTCCGTTATTCTTATGGGTAGCGTGCATGCAGGATATGTAGGCATTGGTTATGTCGTGCAAACTTTGTTACAAGATCATCAACAGCAAATGCTTTGACCCCATTCTGCTGAACACGAGCGCTGAAAATATGTCTAGTTTGAAGCCCAGTGTTTTTCCTTTGTTCCCGCCCGATGACGGGGATTTTTGACGGTCGGACGGATCGCGTTGCAGATGGGAGCAGCGGACAGTGCGTGGATCGCGTCAATCGGCTGGTGGGCCATCTCTCCTGCAAGCAGTTCATCCAGCGGTACGGCTACCGCTACTGCTCCCGCAAGTACGTGCAGCGCAACTGCTGCGCCACGCACAAACGCCTGTGTTCCAACTCCGGGGCGTTCAGCGGGTAACGTCGGCCGCCTCGCCTCCGGGCCAAACTGGCTCCGGACCCACGCGGGCGTGGGCCGGCAGGCGGCCGCCGCCGCGCTCTTGTTGATACTGAGTTGTTACGGGCCCCGCCGGCGGTGCGGCCCGCCCGGCCGGGGGGCGCCGCCGCCGCCAGGACGCGCCGGGCGGCGCCGGACGCTGCCAACGAGCGCCAGACCCGTCCGCCGTCCCGCCGGCCTGCAGTGAAACGTGAAAACGCCATATCGTGTTAGTCGTGAATCACTGAGAAATCAAACTCGCGCGCGAGAATCCGACCGGCACTGGACCTGGAAATTGATCACTTCACTGTACCTCACAACCAAAGAGTCTCACATCGCCGCCTGGTGCCTGGTCGCGTGTGCACCGTCTGCTGCGCTGACAAATTACTGTATCCTCTACCGCTGTCCTGCACTGCACTTCACAGCCGCGAAGTCTCATGATCCATTGCAGCGTAACCGGCATCATCGTCAAGAAGCAATCGTCCATGTTTCCGCCCGACAAATGCTATTAGTCGTCTTCATTTTGTGTAGAGCTGTCGGTTCACTCAGTGACCGCCGCATAGAGAGAACGTGTCTCGTAGCATTACGCCGATCGCGGAGGCACGAGTGTTACAAGTCCGTCGCTAGGTGGCAGTATTCGTAGAATAATTGCAGTATAGATGTCGTCTGCTCCGGACTGTGAATCTGCGAAGCCAAACGGCGCATGAAATACATATTCGTGAAATACACGCTGTCTTCTTAATGCAAACTACGATTTCGACGTCGATGGGTGTCTGAGATCACAACCACACTTAATGTCAGCCAAACGGAGCCAGCTAACGCACGAAAGCGAGATAGGCACCCACCGCTAAATGAAGTCAAGTTAACGCTTGTTGTAATCGAGCCTGCGTTCCCGAACTCATTAACTACTTAAGTTTAATTACTCCGCTCACCTCAACTATAAAGCTGACGACAAATCACGATGCCTGGGCGATGCGCTGGTTCGAAGCCAACCACCGGAACAATAACGCCGAAGCCCGGACAACGTCGAGCGTTTACTGCCAGAAGGGTAACACAATTCCGTTTCTTCAGCTGTTGGTCGTGACCGACAGCTTGGCCTATCACGTCACGCTTGAGAGCGCACCATTCCGAGACGCTATTATTGTTGCAGTTGTGGCGCTGAAATTGTAACAAAAAGCTGCCGGATCTTTGATACCACACCGTAGACATTACATGCCCTGTCCGTTATTTCGTACAGCGGTAAGGCCCGCGTCGCTTCACAGCGAATGGCAGACGCTGTGAAGCGAGGCATGTAGCTACGTGGGCTCGTCTTACGACACAGGCTCTAAACTCTAGTGCTCTAGTGCTCTAAACTCTAAGTGCTCTAAGTGCTAGTGCTCTAAACACCTAGTAAGGTTTCCATTTTACCACGGACAGCTGTACCATGGCCTTGACACATGTTGGAGAACCAAGATACACTTTTATTAACACACTGGTGCAAAATTATTCCCTGGTGTTGCAATAGCCCCATTGAGTGGTGAAATCCGTATGCAGGCCACAAACCATGTGTAATGAGAACACTGGTCTCACTGCCATCCGAGTCTTTCCACGCTAAAACTAAGGTTTCGAACAGCGGCGAGGCCCACGCACCTTACGTAGACTGCAGTCTGAACGCATGTCCCTCGGACATTTGAGCACAACCGGACTCTTGCGAACGGGCAGCTACGATCAAATCAATAGACAAAGAGTGCGAGCTGGCTGACACATTGGCTGGCTGATGAACGATTTGCATGTTCGCGGAGTGCAACACGACCAGAACAAATATTTGCCCACAAAAAAACACATGTATTGGCCGCGTTATCTGCGCAGCACCAGAAATTACATACAATTTAACAAGCGCATCTGACATTGGAAGGCAGTTAATCAGTACGCACGACCGTGCCTGAGCCGGAATATCAGAGTGCAGGCTGCATGCCCATCTCGACATTTACCTAATTCATGGATGCACACTTCCCAATTCTGGCATACAATGCGGTGAGATAAGACTGCACGTCATACAGCATTACAGTCAACTGCGTCAAGTAGCTTCTAAAAACACGCCCTATCTTAAAGTCATATTCTAAGCCAATCTCTCTCGGCCATCATCACCGGCGTCCGCCCCAAACCCACTACATTGCAACCGTCATCTCCCCGGTACGGCCGCACTACGGCACAACGCCACACGCACGTCCGATGCGGGCCTGGCAGCCCTCGCACGGCCGACCGGCGCCTGCCCGTTACAGTTTGGCCTCGGTGGCGCCGCCGAACTTGTCTCGGATCCTGCGGCACATGGTGTGCACCTGCTCGTAGTGGGGCTGACAGTCGGTGCGCACACGCTCCAGCCAGGCAGCCAGCCGCGGCCGGCCGGCCGTCACGTCATACGCCACCATCGCTGCAACAGCGGCGCGGACAGTCACCGCTCCCGCGGACGGTCACCGCTCCCGCGGGCGGTCACCGCTCCCGCGGGTGGTCACCGCTCCCCCTGACGGTTCACCGCTCCCGCCAGGCCGTCACCGCTCCCGCGTGGCCGTCACCGCTCCCGCGGGCGGTCACCGCTCCCGCGGACGGTCAACCTCTCCCCGGGGGCCGTCACCGATCCCCGCAGGCGGTTTTGAATTGATGTGAAAATGATTTAAATCGCTCCCGAGGGGCTTGTCACCCGCTCCAGCGGAACGGTTCAACCGCCACCGGCTCGGCCCGTTCCACAATTGATGGGGAGCACTCTCGCCGCACAAGACATGAGGTCACCGAGAGGGGGCGTGCCAGAGGACAAATATGACGTCAGTGACGGGCCACTGATGAATAGGCGGTCTCCTCACCGACTGACGTGACGACAGGACGGCTTCACTGCTGAGTCTGACGTCAGTGACGGTGCGTGGGGAGGTGGGGATCAGCCTAACATCACGCCGCGCTACTCTGAGAAATCCCCTAAGTAACGCTGGGTGGGGAGCACCTGCGTTGCGAAACCACGCGGTTCGCACAAGCACGGCGCCGCCCTGGACGACTGCCGACCTGGTGCCAGGCCCCAGCACGGCGTACTGTTGCGCACACGAACGGAGATTGGTCACATTTGGGGATGACTCGCAATAACAAAAGTAAAGGGTTATTTGGTGCCATTTCGAATGGACAGACAGCTGGCTCGGTGTCACGTTCCCACATGGTAGCGATGAGAGGCCGGCATCTTGTCGCACTGGGAAGGGGCCGGTTAGGAACCTGCCGCCTTGGAAACTGCTCTGAGCAGGGAGCGGCATGTGCGGAGGTAGAGGACTGGCGGCCGGGTGGCAGATGACGTACGGTGGAAGAGCAACAGACAGAGTTCATCGGACGTAAGTCGCCGATCAAGGCACTACTTATGTCTCCGTTATCGTAGCCAAAGGACACCCGACATGACAAAGTTCCGTGAGCCATTCTTCCCGTGCTCGTTTACTGAACGAAACGCAGCGCAGGCAGTTAAGCGTTGCGTTATTTTCGCGTAGGACGGGTTCACACGGGTTCCACTAGACACATTCAACACATAGCAATGGAGGATAATCCTGGTCCAAATAAGACCACAGTGCAACACAACCGACCGAACATGAGCAACGTACCATTCGGGTACGAAAATACTTAAACGGCTACAATTCACCAGCACCACAGCTAGTCACGACAGGACTCACTGGGCTGCTCCAGTTCGCAGGCCGCCAGAACATCCGCCACCGTGATGGTCTGGCCGGCAATGTACGGCGTCTCCTTCAGCCACACCGTCTCAAGCTGGTCCAACACCCGCTCCATGCCCGCCTGAAAGTTCTTCATACGCTTCTCGTTGACCGGCTCACCCGTCATCATCGGGATCAGCCACTGCCGGCGGAGACGGCGGACAGTGACGCGAACGGACAGATGATCATCCAAAGCTTGTAGCAGGTACATCATGGCAAGGCCTAGACGTCGTGCAAATAATTAAGTATTGCAGCAGCACTTGCATTTTAAGCCAGTCTGACCTAGGCAGGCCGGAAAAAAAGAACAATGATTTAGACACTACGTTTATGCGCAGGTATTTCACTGAGCTACGCAACAACACAAAATTAAAGGGAGCCATGACGGGAGCAAACTCATTCTAGCTTAAAAACCACAGTGATAGAGCAGCCAGCACATCAATTTCTTTTGCATATTCACAGGGTACGTATCTGGTCACGTCCCGCGTTCCCAGCGCGGCCCAGCACAACTGCACACCCAGCATCACCGCACCGACCTTAGTCTGGAAGTACATGGCGCACTGGAGCCGGGTGTTGGCGTGCTGCCACTCGAGGTACTCGTCAACGCGGGCCTGGGCCTGCGAGTCCTTCGGGTACCAATGGTCCGCCACCGGATACTCCCGGCACAGGAAGCGCAGGATAGCCACACTGCCGGCGCACGACCGACCGGTCACGCTCACTCGCCGCCGGCCCGAGCCGACCTCATGACCGGTGATCATGTCTGGTGGTCGGTCACACTCACTCGCCGCCGGCCCGAGCCGACCTCATGACCGGTCACGCTCACTCGCCGCCGGCCCGAGCCTGTCTGGTGATCGTCACGCTCACTCGCTGCCGGCCCGAGCCGACCTCTGGTGGTCGGTCACACTCACTCGCCGCCGGCCCGAGCCGACCTCATGACCGGTGATCATGTCTGGTGGTCGGTCACACTCACTCGCCGCCGGCCCGAGCCGACCTCATGACCGGTCACGCTCACTCGCCGCCGGCCCGAGCCTGTCTGGTGATCGGTCACGCTCACTCGCTGCCGGCCCGAGCCGACCTCGTGACCGGTCACGCTCACTCGCCGCCGGCCCGAGCCGACCTCGTGACCGGTCACGCTCACTCGCCGCCGGCCCGAGCCTGTCTGGTGATCGGTCACGCTCGCTCGCCGCCGGCCCGAGCAGACCTCGTGACCGGTCACGCTCACTCGCCGCCGGCCCGAGCCTGTCTGGTGATCGGTCACGCTCACTCGCCGCCGGCCCGAGCCGACCTCATGACCGGTCACGCTCACTCGCCGCCGGCCCGAGCCTGTCTGGTGATCGGTCACGCTCACTCGCCGCCGGCCCGAGCCCGCCTCAAGGCCGGTTAACGCGGCAAAGATGCTGTTTCCTTCTGTCCCGTTGTGGCGTACCAGTATGTTTGCCATTAAACACAAATCCTTGATTAATGAAGTTCATCCGCTGGCTTCAACACTTGTCTAATTTCATACAAATAATGCTTGCAAACAACCATACGCAGCGACGAAAGCACTGGTCGATCTCATCTATACAGCTACCTATTTAACTATGAATATCCATATAATCCGCGCTCGACGCATAAATCAGTCAACCGGCAACATCGCCCACAACCACCATCATTCGAAAGTCGTCTGGGCAGCAATCGGCATGAGCGAGGGCATGGCCATAAAATAGGGACTGTGGATAGCCTTGAGATGTGATTATGACACATTCTGCAGTGCTGTAAATGTTAAACGTGAAGCTTCATACAGCCCAAAAGCTAAACGATGTACTTAAAATGCCTGATACGGATCTAGGGGGGACCAGACATTCGCGATCTACATTGCTGGCCACCGGGTTCGGCAATAGGTTTTGGTACGATATTTGAAAGCAAAGGTGAAAGAGTGTCGTATGCTGACAAGAATCAAGAGACCCGTTCGGCTACTTGTCAACGAGTATGCTCTAGACACAAAAGTCTCCCGATCCACATTCGCAAACTAAAGCTTCCTCAACACAGTCGCCACACACAAGATGGCTTCTGTCATTCTGGAGAATCGCGAGGTTTAATCTGTCTGTGGTAGTGACTTTGATCTCTTGCGATTTCTTGCAATTTGTTGGGCCAAAGTGTGGGGGATGCGTGCCAGGTTGTCGTGTGAATTGTGAGACAAGACATCGTATATCCCACGGTTACTTATTGCAGCTATGCATTACCCCATACACATCTAACGCCACTAAATCGGGAACAACTATGCCCAGTGTGCTCGGCCGAAGAGGGTCATTGTCATAGATATAAAGGACCAGATAAGACAACAGCTGTCCGACAGAACGTGCATGTCGCCACCATCTTGGAACAGTCATCGAGCCGTCTGTGCGGGCTGCCTGGGCACTCTGGAGCGGGTCGGTATGCAGTGTTCTTGGCAAGAAGTTCATTGTTTTGCGGCTTTCGTTGGATATACCGCATGGTAGCGTGGTCTTTAAAAGCCACAGGTATGCCCCATTGGCCATGGATTGACTATTTTGTGCTGTTGTAGTAAGATGGTGGTGACGGTGCCAGTCAGAGGCACCAATCAGGCCGTACGGCTCCCTTTCAGGGGACATTTATGGTCTTGTTGGAATCAGTGCTCCCCAGGTTTTTTATTTCTGATGGCCTCTTTCCACTTCTTAACTGACCTGTCTGACTTCTTGGATTAAGCTTTACAAGCCTAGTATCTTTCCTTGGCTGTACATTAGGGATGTCGTAATTACTAGTTTGTCACAGTCACTTTCTGCCTTGTACCTGGATGGTGTATTTCTTCAAGTCACATATAATTTTAGTTACCTGTTGCTTTGTCTCTGACACGAAGAGTGCCTTCAATGCAATGCCAAAATTCTCGTATTGCTTTCTATTTTCTGTTCATAAAGGGAGTGTTTCAGATTTGAGGATATGGAAGCAAACATCGGATATGATGGAAAAAGCCCACTTTTGTATATTAGTATACTTCAAGTGGAAGATACTGATCTAGACAGCCCAATCCTCTGTTTAGTAAATATGCTCCTCAATGCGTCATGGTTTGTTTACGTCATCGTACCTGGCACAACATTTATCGAGAGCCAGTTGACGGCCATTGCATCTGGAAATCGTCCTCACGAACGCCAGATCTGAACACCTCCACAACTATGTTTTGATAGCCTTGATAGTCACATGGCTTATGCAATGGCAGGGGTTGAATGACGTTATTATAACGTCATGAATGCTAAGATGACTTTGAAACACTCTTCCCGAGAAACTCTCCCCATTTTCTCGGGCATGTAGCTCAGAAATTAGGCGGGATTACATCTTAAGAAGGGCACGATTGCGATTAGCACCGAAAGGTATTCAAGATGGCTCTTTCAATTCAGAACCCATGTAAATGTGAAACACTCCTCTTTATGTAGGCACAGCGCACCAGTACTGGATGTTGCGCATTATTCTAACAAATTTGTGTCTGCACACCAAAACCCAGGCCATATATTAATATTTTCATTGATCTTGAATGCCACACAACCAGTGGATTGGCGGATTAGAATGGCGTTATCATGGCGTAACGGATGCCTGGGTAGCCTTGAAATGGTCTGCACATCTTCATGGGCGTGTAGCCAAGAAACTAAAGGATTTAAAGTCTTAAGAAGGGCGTGACTCTCAAATGCGCCGAGTGATCAAACTGGTACTTTCAGTTCAAAGCCCCATAAAATGTGGGACACTCCCTTTAAAGTTGCCGCGTACATCACTGGACTCAGTACGCTTCAGATTTATCGCTAAATAAATTTAAGTTAAAATTGTTAAATTCTACGCACGCGGCCTACCGGCCACATACCTGTGTCACTGATCGTTTGTTCGTTATGGGTACGAAGACAGCCCGATGTCCTCGCTGCCCTATTGCAAATCCGTCTCGTGTGTACGTTTCCGCTTCTCATGCCGTTGCAATAAATGGTTGGCCGCATGAAGATAAAACAGCATTAACAGCCTTATTCTGCGTAGAGCAGCCATGAATATGGACAGCTGGATATATCACATTCTAACGTTAATTCATAAATACTGTTTTTATATGCATAAGGTTCCTCGCAAATGCACTTAACAACTTACGTTTGCCGCAAAGCACAACATCATATCTGCCACAAAATACTAGGCAATCGGTTCGCTGGTGCTATGCACCTACCGTTAACGGCTTTTTCAGGATCTGTACACATATTTCGATGTTGCGGTTGTTCCCCAGCATCATGTCTCTGGCGTTTAGCAGCCACCACACATTTAAGTCTCGGCACCAGAGATACTACGCTGGCGTTAAGCGGAGGTGAAGAGATAATCACCAGACGGTCTAGCCTGTCTCAAACGGCCTCAGTATATGTGCCACCACACATTTAAGTCTCGGCACCGGAGATGCTACGCTGGCGTTAAGCGGAGGTGAAGAGATAATCACCAGACGGTCTTGCCTGTCTCAGACGGCCTCAGTATATGTGGTACATGCATAGATATGGTACATATATAGATAACGGTGGTTGCTCTATGCACACTGAATGGCATCTAATGTCCGTTATATATCTTAACATTCCAATGTTGCGGGCATGGTACGCGATAGAACGTCCAGTCCAATTATACGTTACTAAACGACTAAACCGTACATATTTTTCGACTACATTTTCATTCAGTGGAAGCAAATCTGTCTTGGAACATATTCCCTTCACAAAGGCATACTTGTACCAGTGGCAGGCACGCAGCCAGAACATTGGCAAGGGCACAAGCTTGACAAAGGGCTCCTGATGGTGAAAGCCCTCCCCCAAGAGAAATTATCGGATACGGCGTATTTGCTAATTCTACCTTCTACAACTGAAATGCAAGCCAGAAGCCACCGCAAGATCACTTCTACCTCAATCTAGTCAATAAACATGTGTTAAACGATTGCGTGAAACAAATCAACGGCGCTCTTCATTTCACAATGGTCCAGTGGACCATTTCTAACCCGATAGGACTCAGAAGCCTTCTCAGAATCTTTACATGGATTGTGCAGAGATATGAACCCCACAAATGTAGACCGAAATGGGTTAACAACTTGCATTAACATTGCCAGGCCATATTTGCCCGGAAATGTTAAAAATTCAGCCTGAATCTCATCCTGATACAAATTATGTAACGTAGGTGCGCGCTGGCAAATCTTAGAGACAAAAACTGCCAGGCGCCGATGCCAGGCGTTAGTCTTCATACCCCGCGCAGCGCCGGCTCCTCGGCCAACACGTTAGTCTCCATACCCCGCGCAGCGCCGGCTCCTCGGTCAACACTAATTCGTGGACAACGGAAGGACGAGGGTGATAACGCACTTGAAAGAAGTACCTTTGTGCGCTTTAGGACATTAAATTCTACATTTCTGGGGTGGTCCTAGCAACATTTTATCTGTGCGATGTTCACATGGGTGTTGAGAACGGATTGTTCATTACAGCAACGCGAAGTGGAATATAATATAGAATCTGCTGTTGTAAATAGAAGGGTAAAGGTAGAATCTCTTCTTTTTGTGTTGTTTTAACTTTCAATCTGTCCAGGCGATAAACTCAAAGTTGCAGAAAAGATGCGCGCAGTCTTACCTTTGACCGGTAAGAATTAATTTTAACGGACATTCGAAACCCGTTTACAACGGTCGTTCCCCGCGCACAGCACCCGCCGCCTAG